AAGGCATGTCCATGTTCTTTACATTCACCCTATTTTTCTGTTCCTAATACTAGTTTGTTTCCTTTCTGAGATGTGATGTGAACATTTGGGGATGAATGAACATCAAGGATGTCTCCATCTCCACACACCTGCTTTTCATATGATTTGACTCTACAAGGATTTTCTTGTTCACAGTGGGATCTAGAATCCAGCTGAGTTTATTGCCACATGGATTATCTTTATTATGTTCAAAGTCTCTCTGTGACTTGATGTCTCAAGATTTCTCCTGGAATTTCTGTAGTCATCTTCAAAGTTCTGGTCTTTCTGTTGTTACCATGTTCCTGAAGGTTTCCTGCATCACATATCCATGGAGCTTATATGGGGGGGAAATCCTGCAAAACACATTCCTCTAAGAGGAAGTTCACAGCTACATCTTCACAGGTCACACACTTTGTATCTGCTTCCCAACTTTCCTGCTCCCATCACAACAGCTTCTGGGGTCAGTTGTCACAAAGTGACAGAAATTGGGTCACCTGAATCCTCTCTTAGCAATCAAGATAATGCCCTTTCAGACTACTTTTTTCTTTTCAGATACTGTCTTCTTTTGTTTCTTGCTGCCCAGGCCCTCACTAGGCTGGCCAGGCTGAACTTGAATTCTGTAGCCCAGGCAGGCCTTGACCTTGAGATCTACTGCCTCTTACTTGCTCTCCGCCTTATTTATTTATTTGTTTGTTTGTTTATTATTTTTGAGATAGGGTCTCTCAATGAACCTGGAGCTGAACATCTGGCTAAACTGGCTAGCCAGTAAGTTCCAGGAATCTGCCTGTCTCCCCAATTACCCTCTCTGGGTTACAAAGTATGCTTACTGGGTGCTAAGGATACAAACCCAGGTCCTCATGCTTGGTAGGGCAAGCAACTGAACCATTTAGCTAGACCCTAGTCAAGGAATGATTGGTGAACGGCATGAGAAGAGTTGGTGTTGGTGCTCTTGGAAGGCTACTGTAAACCAAGGAGCGAGAACATAGACATTGTCTAGGATTGGAGCATTTGCAGATTAAAGAGGAGGAAAGATGGAGCATAGGAAATAGTTTTGAGGGGTTCATAGCTACAGGTCTTGTATATGGTAAGAAACAGTGTGGCCAGTAGAGTGGGGCCTCCAGGAAGTTGAAGGCTGTGGATGTGATGTGGAATGATTAGGGAGTTGGAAGGTCAGAAGATGGGACTGCTGGTGATGAGAGAGGAGAATGAAAGAACAGGACACCATGGAAAGGCATAGTCTGCCCATGGCTGCCCATGGCATGGCCACAGGCAGGGAGGCTTAGCAAGAGAAAATGAGAATGTCCCCAGGGAGAGGACCCACTGGTGGCCTTCTCAGTGTTGTGGACACCAAGGTGAGCAGTTACTTTTAAAGGTTGAGGGCTGCAGAGAAGACAGCGCAAGCACCGGAGTGGGAGGAGTATGTCCAGGGAATTGGCACTTGTCTCAGTTCTGGCACAACAGGAATAATTAGTCAGTGTGTTTCTTATATCAGTGCTGTAAACTCTTAGCCTGCAATTCACAACAGCTTTAGAAGGAATATTTAGGCAAACCCCAGGCTGGAGACTAGAGGTGACCTCTGGGTTCCTATACAGTCCTAGAACCTGCCAGTCTTAGGGTAGACTTCCTCTCCTGTCTCTCCCACTTCATTCATGCTTCCTGTGGCTCATATACTCCCTGTTGCTGTTGCCATGGTTCTGAAGGCAGGACTAACGTTTCTGTGCTGGAGTCTTTGCTGGTACTAGTTCATCCATTATCTTCCCTTTCATCCTACTTGGTTTCCTCAGCCAAGTCTCTGAGTTTTCCACAGAAAAGTAGCTGGAAAGATAGATTGTCCTCTGATTTAGGGATGGCAGTGATGTGCCTTGCCACAGCTACTCCGCCTTTTGCCCTGCCCTTCACCTTGGAAAAAGCTGTGCCTTTTGCTGGAGAAGCCCTTCCTATTGTGGTGGGGCTGCTGCCTTCTGGACAAAACGTCATCATTTAGTGATAGAACCCTTTAGAGTTTCAGACATCCCGTTCTCCCATGGAATTGCACAGATACCTGAGCAACTTGGCATTTCTGCTTCTCTGAAAGATCTTTCTGATTTCTTGGACCCATTGATGTCCTGGGATTTACAGGCCTTTCTCAACATATTCATCCTTTATAGTAACTATTCTTTCTCACTGTAGAAAATTCAGAAGGCTGATATTATACAATACAGAAAGCTAATCTTATGCATAGTCCCCCTGCTGAAAGATTAAGCTTTCATAATGAACTGCGATAATTTTCCTAGATATTTTCATTCATGAAGTATATTTAACTAAACTGGGGGCATGGGATTTTTGTTGTTGTTGTTTGTTTGTTTTCGAGACAGGGTTTCTCTATGTAGTTTTTGGTTCCTATCCTGGATCTCACTCTGTAGACCAGGCTGGCCTGGAACTCACAGAGACCTTCCGGGCTCTGCCTCCCGAGTGCTGGGATTAAAGGTGTGTGCCACCACCGCCCAGCTCGTGTTTTATTATAACTTAAACATACTGCTTTTTAGAGCTCAGTTTTAGATTTTTGAAAAGTACCCTTTTTTACATTATACACATTTTTGTTTAAGAACTAAAATGTAAAGTAGTGAAAGCTTCAGTTAAGTAAGAGATCAGAGTATAGTAACTCATGGTTCAAGGACAGTCATCAGCATGCAGTCTTGTGAGGGTAGGAGCTGAGATTTATGCTTAATCAGAATGCAGCACCTGGAGGAATGTCTTTACTGTAGTCTGTGCTCAGTGAGTGTGGCGAAATAAAACATTTGCATTTTTCATTGTGTATATATGTGCCATAGTACTCATAGCATTGTGTTGTAAAGAGTTTTCTACATCATTTTTTCTATTTATTATTTTGTTTTGAAAATCAATTTTATTAGCTTCAGCCTGGTTAGTTCACTCAAGGGGAAACCATTTAGCTAGCTGGTAACAAACAGAGTCCTGACCTTTCTAAGTTCAAAGTGCTTTCCTTTATTCTGTGAGGTTTAACTACATGCTATGTATCACAGAATTTCTCTGGGTAATGTGATGGACCTGTTATTGTTGCTCCATGAGTTGATTTGATTGGCTCTCACTATATTTCCTATATTTCAAGGACACTGTTCTGTATCATAGGCAAGTCATAACAACTAAGATTTTGGAAATTATCTCAAGGTTAACTGAGAAAGAGTTAAAAATCTGTAATTAGCTTAAATTGTTACATTGGATTTTTTATTTGGATCATGTATGAAGTAGGGGTTCTCAGAAGAATATAGAATTTAGAAATATGAATTTAGGGGACAAACTACTATTGTACTCTTGTAATTAAGAACACAATTATTTCACAGGAAACAATGTGTTTGAAGGAAAGCTAGTCTTATTGAAATATTTCTTATTCTCTAAGACCAGCTACTGGTTTTGATGTTGCTTTGGCATGCCTTACATACCTGGAAAAAAAAAATCTTGTATTTGCTACTGAGAATTTTCTTTTTAAATACCACTCTATACAAATAATCTAACTTTAACTACACTGTCAAATTCTTTGCCGTAAAAACAAAAACAAACAAAAAAAAACCAAAAAAATGTTTGAATAGCTATCTAATTATGCACTAATTTTTCCCCTTCCTGTAGAAGAGGGGATGGGGTGATTACTCAAGAAAATTGGTCTCCAGTCACTTTTGCCCTTCTTCCTTATTTTATTATCTAGTCACTTCATTTCTCCAGGATGTTTCCCCAATTTTGAGAGGATAGCACTTGAAAAAGGAAAGTAGATCCAAGGAGGGATGTCCTTAAACATCCATGTTCTCAGTAGTCCCCATTTTTCTATTACACACTGCTTATGGAAACAGGAAAGAGGGGGAAGGTGTTTGAAAAAGAGTCTGATAGCACTTCAAGTCTCTTAGAGATGAATGGAAGATCGGAGACGAAAGAAATAATGGACATTATTAGAATTAACAGTACTACGGAATGCCAAACTGTGAAAACTGGTTTCTAATTAAGTGGTTAAAAAGAATGTCTGGCTAATAAATTCTAGGATTTCTGTGAGAATTTTAAGACCAGGCAAGGCTTCCAGCACTCTTGAAGCAGAAGCAGGAAAATTACAGCAAGTTAAAGAAGAGCTAAGCCATGATAGTGGGTTTCATGACAGATTGGGCTATAGAGTGAGACCCTGAACAATAAAAGAAAACAGGATGATATGAATTATAATGGAAAACACCACAACAAAATTGGTGATTAAATGGTGGGGTATATACTTTTTTTTTCCCCTCTGAAATAGTGTCTTACCATTTATCTTATATAAAGCTCAGGCTGGCTTAAAACTCATACTGTAGCCCAAGTAGCAATGGAACTAGAGATCTTTATGCCCCAGCATCCCTGGGGCTTGGAGTACAGGCATACATCACTATATATAGTTTCATTAAAATACTTCTAGACTCAGTTTCAGGGAAGTAATCAGCCAGTGTCATGATGACAGTGAAGTAGCTACAGTGACATAATAGTTGTCGCTATAGCAACAGGAATAATCTGACAGTACACAGGAAGTGTCTGTTCCTAGCCACTGGCTGAAGACACATAAGAGCAAAGAGGCAAGAGAAGCCGCACCTACCTTGAGAGCTGCCTTATTGGCAGAGCTGAAAATCATATACCCTGGAACGGTTATTTCAGTGGACAATGGGGCTGGTCAGGTAGAATTTTAACATTTGATCATAAAATCTTTATGTTTTTGGTCCCAAGCAGTGGTTCACATTAAGATTCTGATTGGGAACTTGAACTTGGGCTTTGGGTATACATAGAATTCCTGTTTGACATGGTTCCTCCACTGCCTAGTGCCATCTGCCTGCAGAATCTGAATCCATCAGGGAAGCTCTGACTGGTGGATCCCCAGACAAGGCTGTGGATTTGGGTATTAGCACAGGGCTGAAAGTTAAGCACCCGAAAGATCAGTTGCTGAATGATGACAGATGTTCCTCTCCCTTTAAAACTCTTTTCAGGAAAAGGAGAAGAGATGACAATGAGGAAGACACCCACCTTCCCCGTCATTCGAAGAGGAATAAGAAGGACCAGGCCTTCCAGGACCCTCGGGCTATAGAGGTAGGAACTATGGCCACCCAGCTTCAACACTTGACACATTGCCCGCTCTGTGGTGTTCATTTCCTTCTCCACGAGGCAAGAGAACCCTCCCAGATGCCCTCGGGAAAGTCTTCTCCTTGGCTCTAATGGCTTTGGGGCAGAGCAGGATTTTAAGTATTGACATAAGCATGATTTTACTGTGCATCAGAACAGAGACAGGGCTGACAGAGAGGCTTTCCCAAGCACAACCAGGAGGAATGGGGTTCCAGAAATTCCTCCACCTTGCAAATGGGGAGGGAGAATCAAACCCCTTCTACGATTAGGATAGAAATAAACTGCAAGAACAGAGAGGCATACTACTGGTTACAGTGCTCTTCTTGCTTTCTCCCTGAAAAACAAAGAGCCAAGTTGGGGTTGTGTGAAGGGATTTGGGAAAGCTTTAGGGATGCTTGTGCTGAAGAGCTGGCATTTCAACTTCAACAGACTTCAGTTTAACAACCAGTAAGTGGTAATGCAGCATGGTTTGAATGGAAGCATAACTTAGTGAGGAGGGAGCATTGTAAAGGGTTTCTGGACAAGTCTCATCAGGTAATGAGTAAGTATGGCTCAATTTTTCCTTTCCCGAGCAAGAGATAAAGGCTTATCAACATGTGCCTTCCTCTGGGACACAAACACAGGTAGGTTTTGGATAAAATGTACCCAGACTTACCCAAGTCAAGCAAGGAGTGTTCTTGACCCACTGAGTTTTCTGTTGCATATGGTCACCTAAATATGAATACTGGCCTATGTTTACAATGTTAGCACCCTAGACCTCCATGTAAATCTGCTCCCTGGAACAAAGGTGTGAGATATGGTAGTGCAAACATAAGACCCAAAGCTTTGGTACATGTCTGTCTTCCTGATAAAGAACAAGGGCTTCACAGTGTTTTCCTGATAGCTGAGTAAAAGAAGAAATGGACAGTGTGGGGTGAGCTGTGGGTCACTAGTACAGATCCCAGACCTCTACTCTGCTATTGATCACATGGGAACTAATGCTCAGGTTCCAAGGAAACAGCAGTAAGACAAATGGGAAAAAATACATTAAGGGCCTCACACCTATTCCGGTTAGACATCTGTGCATCCTTGATTTTCCCCAACTGTTGGGACTACAGCTCTCTGTGACACCACTGATTTAGGCTGGGTGAGTTAGGCTGTCTGCTGGAAAGTTTGGTAGCCTCTTACATTTCTTTCTGGTGTTAGCAGTTTGTGGTCCACGCTGGTTAGTTTAACTGCCAGCCTCACAGGACATGGAACCCCCTGAGAGGAGGATCTCTTTTTAATACTCTTCTGTATTCTTTGAAATGTCATGCATAGACATGCTATTTCTTGATCATCTTCACCTGCAGTCTCTCCCTGCAGCTCTACCCTGGACTCCCCCAACCACTATCGGTCTAAATGTTAGAGCCTCCTTTTCACCGTGTATCCATGTACCTGTTTAACCCACTCTGTCCAGCTAGTGCTTCTGAAGTCCACAGAGCCTAGGGGTCATCCACTGAGTCCCAGGTAACTGACCAGGGGCCATCTACCCAGAGAGAAGTAGATGCTTCCTTCTCCAGCAGCCATCAGTGGCCAAAGCTCCTTAGCTAGAGGTCCAGCCACAACAGCACCTCCCAGGGGATTAACCTGGCTTCATTATGTTCAGGTAACCACAACTACCATGGGTTCCCGTGTGCAAGAGCCATACCATAACCAGGGGACAGTGTTTCACTGCACTCCTCCCTGTAATCTGGCTCTTACATTCCTTCTGCCTCCTCATCTACAATATTCCCTGAGCCCAAGGGCAGGGGCAGGTGGTGTAGATGTCCCCTCTGTGGCTGAGCACTCACAGTTGCTTAGTGTCAGCACTTTGAACAGTTATGTGTTTCTACATTGACCACTACTCATTGCAACTAGAGCTTCTGAAACCAATGTTGAGAGCAGTGCAGACCTATGCATGCAAACATAAATATTCAGAAGGCAGTTTGACAACATAGCCTTTAGCAGAACAACAGTAAGTCCACCCCCAGCACTTTGGAGGAACCATGGACCCACTAATAATAGGTTTTGACTATGTTTACAGTGCCAGGCATACACTCATTCATGTGGAGCAGGCCTCAGATCCAATCAGGAGAAGAATTGGTTAGCCCCAGGCACAGAACTGCAACTACTCCACCAGTGGGTTAATCATGCCTGGTGGGCCAGTATTATACCGTGCAGGGTCCAGCAATGGGTAAGATCACTTATGTCTTTTCCCTCACGACAGCCAGCATTTATATATACCTTCTCGGTACTATGGACATTGGCCAGCTGGGAGAGTTTCTTGGTGAGTTCAAGACTGATTTCCCTGTGTCCTGCAACGGAAGTGTATAGTGTCTAGGTTACAGGGTCCTACCATCTTGTTCTGTTGGGCAACCAAGAGCAATGGCAATAGCCTTCATTCTTTGGTCACCTCTGAGGCTGGCCAGACTATAGGGAGGTAATTTATGTGCCGTGCTGAGATTTTACTTAATGACTTACAGCTTCTGGGAATACCATTGTTCACCCACATGCAGTATCCTTGTTCAGAATAGCGTGTATGGGGGCTGAAGAGATGGCTCAGCCATTAGGAGTATCTTCTGCTCTACCAGGAGACCTGGGTTCAATTCCCAGATCCACATGGCATACTTGTCTGTAACTCAAGTTCCAGGGGATCTGACACCTTTACAGACATACACGTAGGCAAAACATCAATGCACATAGGATAAACGAATCATTAAATAAATTGCATTGTATGACCTTGTATACTGTAGAGTACATTTTCATAAAGCTTGTTCATACATCCTTAGTTTGCCTTAGCATGTCCACATCCTGCCTTCTATTCTCCATTCCTTTTCCCCTATTCTCACTTAAACTTTAACCCCCAGTATTCCCATCACATTTTTTCATATCACATGCCTTTCACCACATTATCTTGTTAAATATTTTTACCTGGGTTCTAAGGCCATGGGTTCTCATGTAGCTTCTCTCTGCACACTTCATATTGGTTAGCCCTTACCCCAACTCCTGCTTTTCCAATTCCCATCAATCCAGAAACTGCAAGAACCCTTCAGACACCAGGATTTGTGCTCTCTATGTTCATTTTACAAGTATTCTGCTATTTCCATTCTCTTCAACCAGATGTCCCCCAACCCAGTGGCCTGTTTCTAGTTTCTTGGGTTCAAAATGGACTCCAGGATAAGCACACAAAACAAAATATTCGAGGCCTGGACCCACATTGGAGTGAAAAGATGTGGTGTTTTTCCTTTTGGGGATTGGGTGACCTTACTCAGTGTAATTTTTTCCAAAGTTGTTCATTGACTTTCAATAGTCTTACTGAGGAATAGTTTCTGTCAGTTTGGGGTATGTGTGTGGGGTATGTCTTGATTGTTGGTGAATGTAGGAAGAGCCAACCCATTGTAGGTGGTGCCACTCCCTGGGCAAGGCATCCAGAATGTATAGGAGAAAAGGAAAGCCAGCTATAAGCAAAGGATAAGCAAGCAAGGATCCCTGTGCTTTCTCTCTCTGCTCATGACTGAAGGTGAGATGCTGCTCTTAAACTCCTGCTTTGACTTCCCTGAAGTAAGGAATGAAAACCTGGATCTGTAAGCCAAAGAAAAACTTTCAACCCTGAGTTGCTTTGGGTCAGGGTGTTTTATCACCACAACAGAAATGAACTGAGTAGGGGGCCATTTCCATCACTCTTGATTTCTTTCTATGATCTGGAAGACAGAGCAATTGAGGGCTCTGAGTCTCTTACTGAGCCAAAGAGATGTCATTAGTTGTGTTGTCAAAGCCTAAGCAAAGTGGGTACCCCTGAAATGACCTTCTTGGGAGATACATTCCTTGGATGGGTGTGCATGGGGTGGGAGAGCTTGGCCTAATAGCTTGTAGACACTTTAAGGACCCTTGTCCGTGGAGCATGTCCAAATACGGCAAGCACTCTCATGTGCACCTTCACGTTAGAAGCTGAGTTGTGGATTGAAGATAATCATGTCCACATGTTTTCTGCAGGTGAGGCTTTCCTAGTCATCTTTGGTTTGCTTTGTTGAAATCCATTCCCTTCTTTCACACAGATGAGGCGACATAGCTTGTATCACAGGTTGAATTTTTCAGTTGAAATACAGCTTAGAACTCAAGGTCTGGCCCAATTTTACCTCCTGGTCTTCAGAGAGCCTGGATCAGGTCCCCTACCTGCCTACAGAACTTCAGATATGAATGTCCTTCATTCCCTTGCTCATTAACAAAGTAGTAGTGATTCAACAGTCTTCTGACTCAAGAGAGTGTACATCGTTCTGGAGAGATCAGAGAGGGTAGGCCGCCAGTGCAAATGGTGAGGAGCCTTTGGGAGTTCTTAGTCTAGAGACTGCAGTGGGCATGGTTGGGATTGTCAGTTTCAGTTAGTAAAAAGCAGCATGTAATTCCGGAGGTGCAGCAGGTTTAAGGGTGAATTTTGTTACACTATTGGGGTTCAGAAACAAATGCTTCTCAGGTATATAGGAATGGAATTGGACGGAAAGCTGGGGTTGAAGGTAGAAAAATCTTGGATCCACTTGCTTTTCACTTTAGGAAGCATTATCCAGTTCTATATCACGAATACACGTGAATTTCCATTCAGTGTTTGTGATGCTGTTCCATGATAACATTGTTCCTCATGGCTTCCGTTTCTGTTTTCCCGTCATTACTATCATTAGCCAATTGAAGGTCTCTTTCCACCTCCTGTGAAGCCTGGAGACCGGCCATCCTTCTTCCAGGTGCTGTCTTCCTTCTCTCCTGTGATTCTAAGCTGCTGTCTGCATCCCTGCCACCATCTGTCTGGCAGTTCCTTTTCTACAGCTGCTCACTGCACCCCACTTTCTGCAGCAGCCCCTTCCTTGGCCATAACTTACACTGGAGAACTCAACCTGGGGAGCCTGCTAAACTCAATCCCCAGAATGTATGTTTGCCCTGCCAGGAGTCCTCTGCATTGGCTGGGATGTTCTTGTGTG